AGTAAACCCCGGCTCCCTGGCCCTTTAAACAGGCTGCCTGCTTCTCATGCATCCAGCGGAGCACAGGGCTGTCTGGTGCAGACTGCACAAACCAATACGGGGGCTCAGTCTCCACAGTTTGGAGAGAAAAAGATAGGTTTGGGCCGGAATGATCTATTCGTTTTGGACCATTTGCTTTATTTTGACTCCCGGTAATAAACCAATCCATGTTTAAATCTGGGGGACGCGGGCGTGGGGACAGACTCGCACGGGGTGTCCCAGCCCTGACTGTGAGCCGCGGGCGCTGTCAGGACCATCACCGGTAAATAAAATCCAGTGAGAAGAGGGGAGGAAAGGGCGGCTGTGTGGAGGCCTCGGCCTGACAGGGGACGGGGGTGTGGCTGTGTCCAACTGAGCCCGAGAGGCTGTTGTCCGCTTCCCTGAATTTCCGGCTGCCCGACGCCGGTCAGCGCGCCGAGCTCAGCACCGGCTCGCGTCTTTCCTCCTCCGCTGCCCCTGCAAGGCGTGGGGTCACTAAGAGCCTTCCCAGCCCCACGCCTCCTGGCCCGTGGATCCCGGGGAAGAAGTAAGGTTTGCGGGTGCTAGTGCGGGCGCAGAGAGGATCTAAGGACGTCAGACTTCGCTTTTCCCTTCTAGACAGAGCTGCCTTCCATTCCCCAGCCAGCGCCCCCCCCCCCCCATGGAGACATCTGGGGCTCCGTGCAGGCAAGGTGCACGCCGGGGTTTTAGTTGGTGCAAGTCACCGCAGACGGTGTAGGAGGGCCCATGTGCTGTGACTCAGACAGCGTCCCCCTCCCCGGCCTCTGTCTCCCCGTGGGAGGCATGCCGTCCTTCCCTCCTGTGTGCCTGGAGGCCCCGATGGCAGCTCTGCCGCCGGGGCCGTGGGGCCGTGGGGGAACGAAGCTGGCGGGTGTGGGAAGGAGAAACCGAAGCTGACCCCGTTCGCGGCTGGCGCAGAGCTCAGGTGTGGTTCCTGGGAGTGACAGCTCGGGGAGGGCTTCGGGGGGTCAGCAGACCGGGGACCACTGTCCCCTGGGAGGCTTCTTGGAGGAGACGGGAGATCATAGAATGTAGCACCGAGATCATAGAATGTAGCACCGTAAGGGTGCACCATTTAAGACACGCTAATTGTGCCAGTGGGTTTGTTTCTTCATGTTTGTTTAACAAATGAATGAATTAGCACGTAAATAGAGGAAGTGCTATTTTCCAGACAATCGCTCTAGAATTTTGGTGCTAAAATGTGCCCTGAGGCCAATTGATTTGAAAACCCTCATTTTAAATACGAAGTGCTCGTGCTCGGGGGCGGAGGGGAGGGGGTGTGATTACTTGACAGGCAGGCGGGGTGTGTGTGTGTGTGTGTGTGTGTGTGAAAAACTTTGACATGAGGTGGGTGTGGTCGCACAGCGTTGTGGGTGCGCCACATGCCGCGGGCGTGCACGCTTCGTGATGCTTAAGTGCGTGTCGTGTGAATTTCACCTCAGTCTGAAAATATAAAAATAAAGCGCGTGGGGCAGGAGCGCGTGCTGCTCCCTCTGGTGGACTCCAAGGCGCCCTGGGGTGTAGACCCCATGGCCCAAGACCCCGAAGCTCTCCAGGCCGTGGGCACATTCAACGTCTCTGCCTCTTCTCAGTGCACATCTACCCGAGGTGCCTTTAGAAGCGGATCGCGTATGAAATCGAACAGGTAACAGAACACTGGCCTCAGGCCTCAGGTTAGGACTTCACAAAGGGGCCGGGCCGTCTGGGGCATTGAAGGCAAGGTGCCGCCTGGCCCTGCCACACCTCCCGGGACTGGGCCCGCCGGCCCTCACCCCTGCCCGCCTGCTCAGCTTCGGGGTGAGGCCCCCTCTGCCCCTGCTTAGGCTCCAGCAAAATTCATGCATCTCCCAGAGCTGTGAGTTTTGCAGGTGAAGCTCCTGTTGTGGGATCGTGCCAGCCCCGCCGTTTGGTTCAGGGCCCGATGGAGCCCGGCTCCCCTGTCTGGAGGGCGTTCCCGGATGAAGGCTTCCACTGCACTCTGACCTCTGCTCTCGCAAGGACGTGGCAGAGTGTCTCTGCGTTTGTTAGCATCTCTCTGCAGTGGCCGGAAGGGCCGGCCCAGGGACGGGAGGAAGGGGCCAGCAGCCTTGAACCCGCAGGGCCTCAGATGCACGTCAGAAAGCACGAGCCTTTGGTGGCAATGGCCCCGCGCTGGAGAAAGAGTAGCTGAGGAGGACTGAGGGGCTCGGCTCGCGGGGGGCTTGCAAGGAGGAGCTCAGAGCCTCGAAATTAATCTTCAGTGGGACGAGCAGTTGGAACAGAAGGCACGTAACCTCGACAGGCTGCACAGTTTCAGGGAAGGGACACCAAGTGGACACACCCCCGCCTTCCCAGCACTGCTCTGGCCACAGGTAGGTGGTCAGAGACAAAGCTAGGGCCAGCCCATCCCCCCGCCTGCCGTCCCCATGCTGAGTCTGGGTGGGGCGTCAGCAGGACAGGGTCAGGGGCCCTGTGCTCAGAACGGCCCACACTCGGGGTTGGATGCTTCGAGTTCGCCGTGTTCACTTGCTGAATAATGTTATCTCTGCACTGTGGTTTCTAACTGAGGCCACAGGTGCTGGTGGGGGGGCCCATGAGCCCACCTCCCACCGGCCTCCTCCTGCCTCCCAGGGCAGAAGCAAGGAAGGCATTTTCTTTTTTAAGAAATATTTCTTTTAACATTTATTTATTTTTGAGGGACAGAGAGAGACAGAGCGCGAGCAGGGGAGGGACAGAGAGAGAGGGAGACACAAAATCCGAAGCAGCTCCAGGCTCTGAGCTGTCAGCACAGAGCCCGACGCGGGGCTTGAACCCACGAACCATGAGATCATGACCTAAGTTGAAAGCTGGATGCTCAACAGACTGAGCCTAGGCCCAGGCGCCCGCAGGAAGACATTTTCTATTTCAGTACCATGAACAGCGCTTTTCCCCGATTCGAACAAAGGTCCCCGTTGGTGGTGTAGCCCGCAGGCCCTGGCGGGGTTGGGGGGGTGCTGGGTCAGGGTGCTGCGGCTCCTTGGGGACACCTTGTGGGACACATAGTGAGCAATTCACAGCAGCCCCCGCGTACTGTGCGCCAGCCTCCGCGTTCCTGCCCCAAAGCCACAGGGCCCCCAGGCGTGCCTCTGGAGGAAGTTCACGACACACAGACCAGAGCAAACATTACAAACTCCTATGACAACTGGCACAGTGTCTGTCGAATCTGACAGGCATCGGGACTTGTGTTTTTCCAGTCCATTTTTTCCCTAGTGATTGGTTTTTATCGGGTGTCACTGTAGGAGAGGTGGCTGAGGGCGAACTTCCAGGCAGACTATTCTGGAAGGCTCCATCCCAGAGCCTCCTTAGGTGCCTGTCATGGCTTGCTTGGCAGTTACCTGCTGGTCACTCTCACCCCGCCCCCCTCCACCACGCCCCAGATTTGAATGGGAAAATCTCAGTGACACGCAGGCTCATGGGAGGCAGAGTGCCATCTCCAGACAGATGCAGGCGTGCATGGGTCATGGCCAGCTCTCCGCAGGACACTGACTCTGCTGCTGGCTCGGGGGGAAATGAAGGTTGACTGTTATATTGAAATCATATAGCTTTTCCTTTAATAGGGGCAGTGAGATCTTCCAGTCCTGGACCTAGAACGTTTCCGCTAAGCTGCCTTACGAAGTAGCCGCGTGTGCTCCTTGCTTTCAAATGTCAACTGTGCGTTTCTGCAGGCATCCCGCGGGGTCCCCTGTGGGCTGCGGAGTGCGGAGTGGCCCCTCCGTGGATGGTGGGAGACCGCCCTGGACTTCAGTCCCAGATTCGGGAAAACACGGCCCGAAAGCTTCCTGCCGCTGAACCACAACCGAGAGAGGCCGTTCTTTGGGGCAGGGCAGAGGTGAAGAGGGTCTCCTGAAGGCCCCACCCCAGCATTTGGCAGCTTCATGCGTCAGGCAGCGGCGGGCTCCAGAATGCCATCGTGAAGGAGTCTCCGTGCATGAGCGAACGCACGTTTTGCCTGCGTCCCCCCTCCCGGTGGCGGTGAGTCAGTGTTGACCGTGGACACCTTGGACAGAGGCCGTGGGGTGAGCAAGAGGCTGCCCGGGGACAGCAAGCACAGGCCTCGGGGACCCTGCCGCCCAGAACAGGGAGGGAAGGCAAAAAGGGGCGGCCCCCCCCACCCCCCGCAGCAAAGAGGAAACACAACACGGAAGGAACTGGAGGGAAAGAGGACCCCGTGGGTGGAGTGAACCGTATGTAACGCACGCGCCATCCACTCGGTGCTTGCGGAAAGTTTATTCTAGCAGGAGGGAACTCGTTGATGTGTAAGTGGCTTTGGTCACTGAGCAAAGCAAAGCCATCTGGGGAGGACAGCGCCGGCGGGAGACCCCCGTCTCCCCGGCCCTTCTCCGCAGAGCCCAGAGCAGGAGCCTCCGCGGGGACCACGGGGAGCTGGGCTGCATTCCCGGCCATGGCCCCTGGCACCGCGGCGCGCGGGAGGCTGGCACGCGGGAGGCTGGCACGCGGTCCCCACCACGCAGGGGGAGAAGGTGCCTGTCGCCTGCTGTGGGGAGAGGCTCAGAGCCGGCCCTGCTCGGGCAGTTTCGGGGGCGGCCCTGCCCTTCCCTGTGGCGTTCGCCCCATGCGCAAACTGCCCGGCCCCCCTCGCCCCCGCCCCGAACACGGTGGCCGCGGCCTTGCTGCAAACGGAGCTACGGACCGTGTCCAACCCCGAAAAGATGAAGAACACGGTGTTTGGAAATTTTCTTTTTTAGCATGAGGGAAACGTGAGCAGACACAATCCCCATTCTGCCTGAGGCTTTTTTTTTTAAAGTTTTATTTGGGGCGCCTGGTGGCTCCGTTGGTTAAGAGTCTGGCCCTTGATTTCGGCTCGGGTCGTGATCTCCTGGTCTGTGAGAACGAGCCTGCGTTGGGCTCTGCGCTGATAGTGCGGAGGCTGCTTTGAACTCTCGCTCCCCAAATAAATAAATGAATAAATAAATAAATAAAAGTAAACTTTAAAAAATTATTTTATTTCAAAGAGCAGAGAAGTGTTTTGCGAGGCAGCTGGGAAAACAAATGGCCAAAAAAAAAAAAAAAAAAAAACCCCAATCAGAGTTTGTCTTAATAAATAACAAAATGCCATGTATTTTCTTCGGCTTCTATAAGACACACCACATCTCAAATAAATAACCCCACACTGGTGCGACAGAGCGGGAGGCAGCGCCAGGCGCCCGGGGAGCAGCGGGTGACACACTGCACCAGGCCCACCGCCCGCCACGTCCTCCCGAGCTGCAGGGACCAGGGGCCGTGGCCGCCGCAGCGCCCAGAAGGCAGACACCTCCGGGGGCTCGGGGCTGGCGTTCCCGGAGCCCCTGACAAGCGGGCGGATGGCCTCACGGTGGCTCACTCGGCGACAACTTTCCAGGCTGCTGCGGAACAGGGGGAGGCGGCGGGAAGCCTTGTGGGTGATGTGAGGGCACCAAGGTCCGTCTTGGTTTCTGACCCGGGTCTCAGGTTTCTTCTGGGCTCCGTGCGGGCTGCGTTCTCGTGCCCGCTGCAGCATCCAGTGCCCACACGGCCCGTTTAGGTGGCATCAAGGTCCCTGCCGGCGCGGTACGCACCTGCTCTAACATCCTGGCTGAAGCACCTGAGAGACTCAGGCTCCCCTGAGCGCCACCCGGCGGGTGCCTGCCCGTCCAGCGTGTGTCCCGGGCGCAGCCATGGTGAGGGCACTTCCCACGCGGCTCCTGTCCGCTGTGCTGAGCTCCACGGCTCGCCTAAAACGGCACCTTCCCAAGGTGGCTTCTGTGTCTTATCCAGGTGTGTGTGCAAAAGGCAAGGGTCAATCGTTCTTTCCAACACAGGATCCTTTAACTTGAACTTTCCCTTGATAGACCGATGGTGAAGGGCGGGCCCGCCTCCCTCCGGGGGACTCAGGGGTCAGTGTTCCTTGGACCTGGAAGAGGAAGACAAAGGGGCAGCTGGTGACACAGCCAGAAATGACGCAGGACGGATGCACAAGCCCCCCAGAGCCTCTGGGGCGACCCAGGGACGAGGAGGGACAGGGGACAGGCTGGGGACCAGGAGGGACAGGGGGGCAGGCTGGGGACCAGGAGGGACGGGGACGGGGGAGCAGGCTGGGGACCTAGAGGGATGGGGGGCAGGCTGGGGACCAGGAGGGACAGGGACAGGGGATAGGCTGGGGACCAGGAGGGATGGGGGGACAGGCTGGGGACCAGGAGGGACAGGGACGGGGGAGCAGGCTGGGGACCTGGAGGGACGGGGGGCAGGCTGGGGACCAGGAGGGACGGGGACGGGGGAGCAGGCTGGGGACCTGGAGGGACGGGGGGCAGGCTGGGGACCAGGAGGGACAGGGACAGGGGACAGGCTGGGGACCAGGAGGGACGGGGGCGAGGGGGGGGCAGGGGGCGGGGGGGGGCGGGGGGGTGGGTGGGGGCCGGGGCGAGATCGCAAGAGCGTGGGGG